GTGGGCTTTGTTGTTTTCAGTTAGATGGCCGTTTGTTTATCTTCCAGCCTATAGGACCCCAGATTCTATATCTTTTGACAGCCGGGCACCATCAGCTTTCTTCACCGCATTTGCTTATGCACCCACTTTGTCTTCAGTGATCATGTCGGGGTAGGCTGGTGTGCAGTTGAAGCAATTTTTGCTGATGTCCACGAACATTATTTAGAAACAGCCAAATTCAGATTGCTAAACTTTGTTATTTGATGGAGGAAGAAGGAAGGAGAAAAGAAATAGGGAGAAAAGAAAGGAAGCAGGGAGAGAAATGCTACCTCCTAGCCATAGGTGTCTTTATGACGTTGCTGCAACAGGATCGCCCAGGGACTAGCTGGGGACACCACTGCCCCATCCCTTTGCACAAACCTTAGACTCCCCATATTTCCATGGTCCTCATACTGCTCTTGTGACCCTAATACAGAATGCTGGTATCAAGCTAGTTTATGTGCAGACAAGGGAAGTGGGAAAATAATATTTTTGTGATTTGGGGATATTCCAAAAATAGAGCGATTAATTATATTTTCATTGAACTCTTTGTTTAGATGGGCCAGTATCTTCAGAAATGGAATCTAGTAAAAATGATCCCAAAGATGATCTCAGTGTAAGTATTGAAAGTTCAGTTTTACCCATGTATTGAGGAGCCTTCTAATGTCTTGGTTTACTAGAATAGAAATTCAGCTAACAATTTAGATTTTGATATAAAATGGCTTCTGTTTTTTTGGCAAATATACTTCCAGTTTAGGATAATAACTATTTCTTTTCTGGATTGTAATCTGGTGATAAAATGCAATTTGTAGGTTAGGGATTTTGTGTTAGTTTCTCCTTGGATTCGTTATTTGAATATTTTCAAATATATTTGTGTGTATTATTTTGCCCTCTTGGTTTTGGCCACCTTGAAAATATGAAACCATAGGCATATTTGTGTTACATTTTCAGAATATGCTTGGTAAGGGAATTTATGTGTTGGTACTCTTGAATTCTGAATGTGTTACATATTTAGCCAGCGTATTACATTATTGGTCGACTGTTTTCTATTGATCTAATAAGATCTTTTTGATAGCTTAAAAACTACTTGATATGTTAATGTGGGGAA